CTTATTTCCTCCTCTTTATATATGCTTTTCATTTACGTTTTTTTCATTCATTAGTATCAAAATTCTCAAACAAGAAAGAGTTTAGCCACATTTATGAACATCTATAACATCAAAATAAAAACATTAACTCTATTATACATCCGAAATTTTGAACATACTTGTATATATATAATCTTCGACAGATCCATTAATATAATCTATATTTCTATAGTCCACATGAACTTCATATAGCTGTAATACATAATCCAATCTCTGTATATATCATTTTTTTGAGTTATACTTTTTATAGTTCAGATGTCCTAAACAGCGGTTTTAATGGAGGCTTAATTATATACTATCTACCTTTTAATATGATATATTTATCTACCTTTTTTTATGATATACAATTCGAGCTTTTTTTACTTTTTTTTAACCGTGCGTCGCTGTCTCCTGTTTCTGCGTCTGAGTTTGAACTTGGGAGAAGAAAGAATGGTAATAATTGAAGTAAAATGTGAAAGAAGAGAGGGGAGAATGGCTCGATGAAGGGGGAATGAAAAGATGATGATGATGAGGAGGAGGAGGAGGAAAAGGAGGGTGAAGAGGAGGAAGAGGAGGAAAAAGCAGGAGGAGGAGGAGGAGGAGGAGGAAGAGAAAGAGGTAGAAATCGTGAGGCAAGAAGTAAAACGGGAGGTGGAAATAAAATAAAGGGGCAACAAAAGAAGGAGAAAAAGAATAAGAATTGAAAATATCTAAAAGGAGACGAAAACATGAAAGAATGGGGAGTAAGAAAAAAACAACAAGCGGTGATAGAAAGAAAACAACAAATATAAGGAAATGAAAATAAAAAATAAAAGGAAGGGGAGAAGTAAACCGAAGAATAGAAAGAGGAGAGGAAGAGAAATATGAGAAATCCGTTGAAAATCTACAGAAATGATAATAACAATAACAATAATTATTACAATAATTATAACAATTATTTTGATAGTAATGATAATGATAATGATAACAATTGTATCAACAATAATGGTAATAACAATAATAAAAATAATGGTGATAATAAAGATAATATAATAGTAGTAATAACAAGAATGAAAAGGATCAAGGTAAGGATAATAATAATGATAAGGATAACAATAACACAAAATAATCAAACAACCTTCAACAATACCAATAACAACTCCCCATTAAGCCAAAAATAAAGCACGGAACCCCCCCTCATTCACACTTCCGGTCCGTCGGTCGGTCTCGGTCCAGCCAGACAACCCTGCTCCTTCTCCTCCTTCAGCAGACCACAAGCGCTGCAGAAGGTCTCTTTAAAGGCTCGAGACACACAGGAGTTTCGTCTTTGAGCAGCGATTCGAAAACGGGGCGAGAAGGACAGAGAGAGAGAGAGTAGGAAGGGAAGGAGGGAAGGAGGGGGAAGGAAGAGGGGTGGAAGGAGGGAAATGAGGGAAAGGAGAGAGGGGGTATTAAGGGAGGGAGGAGGGTGTGAGAGAGAATGGAGGGAGGGAGAGGGAGAGAGAGAGAGAGAGGAGAGAGAGAGAGAGAGAGAGAGAGAGAGAGAGAGAGAGAGAGAGAGAGAGGAGAGAGAGAGAGAGGAGAGAGAGAGAGAGAGAGGAGAATGGGGGAAGGAAGGGATGGAAAGAGGGAGAGAGAGAGAGGAGAAAGGAGAGAGACAGAGAGTAGAAAATTGAAAAATGAAACAAATTTAACTCTAAGAGGGAACAACGCACAAACACACACACACACACAAACTTCCCTCTCTCCCGTCCTCCCTGCCACCCTCCCCCTCCCCTCTCCCCCCTCATCCCAACCCCCTCATCCCAACCCCCCTCCCCCCCCCTTTTAGGACTCCAGAGCCTGCATCGAGCGCGCGGAGACGAGCCCGGGCATCAAAGAAGGTCCCCGGATGATTCTCCTTCAGACTGAGATGTCCGCTCGGGGTCAACAAGGTCATGTTGGCGACGACAGGCAAACGGAAGTCGCGCCTGTCACCTGCCTGCCTCTTGGACGGCCGGCCGGGGGGGAGGAGGAGGAGGAGGAGGGAGGAGAGAGGGAGGGAAGGTAGGATGGGGGGGGAGGAGGAGGAGGAGAGGAGGTTTTTGAGGGAGGGAGAGGAGGAGAGAGGGAGGAGGAGGAGGAGGAGGAGGAGGAGAGGAGGAGGAGAGGAGGGAGGAGAGAGGGAGGAAGGGTAGGATGGGAGAGGAGGAGGAGGAGGAGGAGGGGAAGGGGATGGGGGAGGAGGAGGAGGAGGAGGAGAAGTTTTGCGAGGGAGGAGGAGAAGGAGGGGAAAGGGAAGGGGGAGGAGAGGAGGGGGGAGAAAAAGAAGTAATGGGGGGGGTAGGATGGGGGGTTAGGGGGGAAGGGGAGGGGAAGGAGGAGGGGAGGAGGAGGGGGGGATAGGGGGAAGGTAGGTAGGGTGGGTGGGGGGGAAGGTCGGGCGGCAAGGAACTTTCTTTCATTTGAATTTCTCTCGTTTTCTTCTTCTTTTTCTTTCTACTTGGGTCTTCTTAATCATTGATTTATGTCTATCCTTCGTTTTTCTTACTTCTTTAATCTATTTTTCTTTCTCCCTGTTTTTTTTCTGTCTTTCTCTTTTGTCTTTCTTGATCTCTGTAACTATTTTTTTTAGTATCTTTCCATTCTTCTTCTTTTGATTTATTTATCATCATTCCGGTTATTATTGTTTATATTTTGTATTCCTTTCAATAATGTTTTCTTTCGTTCTTCTATGCTTGTTTTCTTTTATTTCTTAAAGTTATTTTCACTTGTTCAGATATTTCTCTTTTTTCGTCATTTACCTCGTTTGTGTCATTCTTGTTTTCTTTACTTTTTGTCATTTTATTTACTCTCTTTCTTCGTCGTTCAACTCTCGTTAAAAGTTTAACACCAAATCAGCTGAGTCTTAAGAAAAAAAAAAAAAAAACAAACATGAGCAAAAGCATTTCAGAATCAAAGAGAGAGAGGAGAGAGAGAAGAGAGAGAGAGAGAGAGAGAGAGAGAGAGAGAGAGAGAGAGAAGAGAGGAGAGAGAGAGACGAGAGAGAGAGAGAGAGAGAGAGAGAGAGAGGAAAGAGTAAGATGGAGAACGGAAAAAATGAGGTTAAAATAGAGAAATCCAATATGACTTAAGATAAAAACATAAACAGAAAATTAGGCTCTTTTCCTCGTTATCTCTCCCTCCTCTATCTCCACTAACCTTTCTTATTTCTTCTCCTTTTCTCTTTCTTTTTTTCCCTCCCTCTTTCTCTCTCTTGCCTCCTATTTCCGTCCTCACTCTCTCTCTCTATCTATCTTCCTTTCTTTTCCTTCCTTCTCAAGCTTTTTTTTCCGTAGTCATTCCTCCCTTTTTCTTCTTTGTCTATTTCTTCCCCCTCCCCCTCCTCCTTTTGTTCCTACTTTCTCCGTCTCACCACTTACCTCCTTTGTCTCACTCTCTCTCCCTTCCTTTCTGCCCCCCCCCCTCCTGTCATTAATTCATCCCTCTTCCTAATTTCCTCTTCTTCTCTTTTATCTATCTCGTTTTATTTCTTCCTCTCTCTTTTTGTCTCCCTCTATCTCTTCCTTCCCTAATTTCTTCCATTGTCTTTCTTCTTATCCATTTTTCTTCCTACAACTCTATTTCTCTTTTCTCTCGACCTCCTCCTCCTCGTTCTCCCTCAAACATCTTCCTTTCTCCCTCTCCCTCTTCCTCTTCTTATTCCTTTTATTTTCCCTGTTTCGCTCATATCCTTCCTCCTTCTCTCCCTCCCTTCTTCTTTTTCCCTCTCCCTTTCCTTTCCTAATTCGTCCTTTCTCCCTCTTTATCATTCCTTTCCCTGACTTCTATCTCTTTCCTTAATTCCCTCCATCCTCTCTCTTTCTTCCCTCCCCCCCTCCTCCCCACTTCTATTCCCCTAATTTCCTAGTTTCTTCCCCCTGTTCTTACTCCTTTCCCTCCCTCCCTTCCTCCCTTCCTCCTCTCCCTCCCTCCATCTCCCCCCCCTTCCTCCTCCCCCCCTTCCTCCTCCCTCCTCCTCCCTCCCTCCCTCCCTCCTTCCCTCTCCCCTCCCCCTCCCTTTCCCTTCCCTTTCCCTCTCCCTCTCTCCCTCCCTTCCCTCCCTTCTCCTCTCCCTCCCCTTCCCTGCCCTCCCTTCCTCATCTCCTCCCTCCCTCCCCTCCTCCCATTTGCTCCTCCCCTTCCTCCCTCTCCATCCCTCCCTTCCCCTCCTCCCCTTTGCTCCCTCTCCCCCCTTTCCCTCTCCCCGCGAACAATAGAGCGGGGCGGGAACAAAGGGCGATCTTATCAGCGCAGCGAGTCGAGGGTGGGCAGCGCGCGGTCGAGGCCGAGGCTTCTCTCGAGGAAGCTCTCGGGTTTTGTCCTCGACGCCTCGACCTCCTCGTCATCCTCCTTCTCGTCTCTCATCCTCTTTCTCTTCTTCTCGTCTCCTTCTCTCTTCTCTTTCGGCTTCTCGTCTCCTTCTCTTCTCTCTTCGGCTCTCGTCCTCCTTCCTTCTCTCTCGTCTTCGCTCTCTCGGCTCTCCCTTCTCTTCTCCTTATGCGTCTCTTTGTTGGTGTTCCCTTCTTTTCTTATTTTTTCGTTATCTTTATTCTAATTCTCCTGCTGTTTTTTTTTTTTTTTTTTTTTTTTTTTTTTTTTTTTTTTTTTTTTTGCTATCTTCGTGTCTTCTACTTCTTGTTTTTTCTTATTATTGCTTTTCTTATTTCCTCTGTCATCCCTTCCCCCAAAACTCCTACGTTTTCATCTGTCTTTCTGTTTCAATTTCTTATCTTTCTTCATCCTCATCCCAATGTTTCTTCTATCTTTTCTCTCGTCTCTTCCTTCCTCTTCCTTTACCTCTGCCTCTTTATTATTCTCCACCTCCACCTCCCCTTCATTCTAAATTTCTAATTTCCTCTTTTACATCTTGCTAAATCTTCTTCTTTCCTTTCTCCTCCACCCTACTCTATCCCTTCGTCTCTCCTTCCCGCACTCTCCTCCTCCTCCTCCTCCACCTTCCCTTTCTTCTCCTTCTTCTTTTTCTTTTCTTCTTTTTCTTCTTCTTCCTTCTTCTTCTTTTTTCTTCCTCTTTCTTCTTCTTTTCTTCTTCTTCTTCTTCTTCCCTCTCTTCCACTTCCTCCTTCTTCCTCATTCCTCCTCCTCCTGCCTTCCTCTTCCTAGTCCCCCCGCTCTCTAATTTCTCCTCTATTGCAGACGCAGTTATGTTTTTTTTTTTTTTTTTCTTTTCTTTTTTTTTTTTTTTAAATCCCTGGTAACTACAACGTAACAAAAGCCACACTGCAAAGTAATTACAATTTCGTCAGGAATACGCCGGATAATACAGCATTAACTAATACGTGAGGAAAGCTTTTAACATCCGTAGTTAATAAACAACAATAAACATGATTAATCTTTTTACTCTTTCTCTTCTCTCTGTCTCTTCTGCTGCTCTCTTTCTTTCTTTCTGTCTGTCTCTCTCTCTCTCTCTCTCTCTCTCTTCTCTCATTCTCTTCT